CCCCCCCCCCCCCGGCACACAGCGCTCCACGTGCCCCCGCCCATCCGCGCTACCTCATCCCTGGCCGTGGCCGCTCAGGCCACCTGTGCCACGTGGCAGATGATGTGCAGAACAGCAGCCGTGCCAGTGGCAGGGCCACACAACTTCTTCCGCAGCACTGCCTTTCTGAAAGCTGTGTTTGCCTCCCCTTAATGGCTTGCTTCAGACTGCATTTCCTTTTAAAATGTGCCCTATCTGAGCAGAGCGCTCAGGGTCAGACATGCTGCTCACAGGACTGCAAGGCCCGGCTCTGAGCTGACCTGTGCCGGCACCGCAGGGTGCATGCTCGCCTCCTGGGAGACTCGGCCTATCTGCGCCATGGGCCCCACGTTAATGGGACCCCGGAAGAGCTTCTGCTCAGCCACAGGTGCACGTGGGGCCCTTGCCACTGCCCCCTCCCTGCCACCGAGGTCTCACCTCGTCTGCCACTCAGCCTCCTGTTTGGCTCGCTCCCTCCGGGCCTCCCTCTGCTTCTCCTCCAGCCGCTCCTTCTCCTGGCTCGCCAGATCTGGGGGCCAAGCACACGGTCTGGGTCAGGAGTCAGGCTTGACAGTAAAGCTCCCAGTTGACCTCAAGCAGAGGTGAGCACTAAAGGAAGCAGATGCTGGAATGGCCCCAACCCAGACCCAAGACAAACAGTCCCACTGGCAAGAAATGTCATCATTTGCAAACCAGACTCTGGGGCGAGGGTAGGGCAGCGCCTGGACACCAGCAGGGCTTCGGGGAGAGGCAGGCCGTGTGCCCCCACCACGCAGGGGCACGCAGCAGAGCCTGTGAAACAGCACCACGCAGCGGCGCGGTGAGGCCCACGGGCAACTCGACCTACAGGGCAGGGTCAGCAGGAGCCACTTCCCGTGGACATGACCCGCAGCTAGCTGCCACACGGGAGCCTGAGGGCTGCTGCCTGGTTGTGAGTGCGAGCTCAGAGGCTGGCTCTCAAGAGAGGGGGGCTGCCTGCCCGCCCGCCCGCCCTGCGCATTCTCTCCACTGAACACCAACCACGTAAACAAGTCCCAGGGCCACTTCAGACAGCCTTTCAGGGGGTCCCAGGCTGCTGGCCTGACCCTAGGCAGGGAGCAAGCACGTGGCCGGCTCCGTCACATGGACACGTCCACGGTATGTGAGCCAACTAGCCTGGGACGTGGGGCCTACGCTGACTTTTAACAGACATAATGTGCAATCTTTGGAACGTTACCTTAATATCTGTTGACGCTAATAATAAAACCTCGGGGACTTGTATTTTGCATGCATTCTGTTTCATTTTCCCTGTAATTTAATTGCATCGTATTTGCACAAAGGATTGGACTGCAACAGGCTAGAATTCTTAAAACTCTTCCAGCATGGAGAGCATGAGAAGCACTGTCCTGCACGTCTCCGTCTGTCCACCTGTGGCCCGTGCGCCCCTCCCTTGCCAGCCCGCATGCGCACCCATGTCGCCGTTCTCCATGCCGCGGATGTCGGGGCGTAGGCGGCAGTCCGTGGGGGCCAGGGTCTTCTCCATGCCACTCTGCAGCTCATTGAGGCTGACGGTGAAACTGGTGAAATTGTACATCTGGAGAGAGACGCACAGACGCTGTTACTACCAACGGTACTGGTTTCTGCGTACAGCTCACAGCTCGAAGCCACTGGAGCATCTGAGTGTCACCAGACACATTTCTTGCCAGTCCTGGGGGACTGCCCTGCAGATCCCCTTGCCCAGATGCGGCCCAAAGAGCCCCACAGCACGCCCCTGCCCCCGTCAGGTGCGGAGAAGGTCCCTGCCGCCGCCTCAGATAGGGGTCCAGGCCAGGGGCCACGCCAACTCCGTGCTCCAGCTCCAGCTCCACCCCGGGGCCCAGGTGCACCCAGCGTCTGTGGGCAGCTCCGCACACGCAGGGAACCAAAGGAGGGAGAAGCAAGCACTACTTGTAAAAGGAATTCCCTGGAAAGAAATAAGGCTTTTTTTCTGTTCCGTCATACTACTTTACACCCTGCTGAGAGCAAACTGTGGCTGTGCTACAGAATATGCACACAGGGGGATATTTTGTTTCCTTTTACTTATTTTACATGTGTTCCGCTACAATAAAAAATTGTATAACATGCTGTACGTATACAAGTTACATATGTAACTTACATTTGAACAAAATAATTAACAATAAATACTAAAATAAACTTATTACACAATGTTATTGCATTTATCAATTAACTTGTTATATGTAATACAAATTGTAAGTGTAATTTTCAAAATACCAAAATGCATTTAAACCTCTAAGTTGTTAAGTCAGAAAAACAAGGTCTCAGACCGATTTGGAAAGCCCTTCAGGAAGACCCAGCCGGTGCAGGCCATCTAGAGCAGGCAGTCATCACACCATGCGTGTGCCGGGACGCATCATGCCCACACGACATGTTGGCAGAGTGCAGCCTTCGCCGCAGGGAGGTCAGGCCAAGGCCAGGCCTCGGCTGGGGCTCCAGGAGGGCCGGGAGCCCCCACAGGCTCACGCTGCAGCACAGTCCAACCCAGAGACAGAGGGCCCCTCTGCTCTGGGACAACGGCCTGAGGAACAGCTGAGGGGCCGGGCCAGGGGTTGGGGGCACAGAGAGGCCCGGACTTGCGGGGGGTGTACGAACCTGGGCAGAGTTGGGGGGCCGAGTGTTGACCCTCCAGAGTAGCTTGCTGCCGGGAATGACCTGCACTGTCTCCTGAACCTCGGGCACGGAGTCCAGCACGTCACCATCAGCTTTCTGGGAGCCGTTGTCCTGAAACACAGAACACTTGGGACAGCCGGCCTGGAGGGACAGCTACTCTTGAGCAACTGTTTGGCCAGCGATGGCCCTGGGCAGAGCAAGATGTGCTCGCCAGTGAGGAGATACAGTGGTGTTCTCTCTGCTGGGGCCCCCGAGAGGGGGTGGAGGTCAGCAGCTAGGCAGCGCTTTCCTGTGGGGAGAAGTGCACACAGCCCAAAGCAACACTAGCAAGCCTGCTCACCGCTGGAGGGGCCCAGGCCTTCCCCAACAGCTGGTCCGGTTCAAGCTAAGGGTGGCTCTCCTGAGCCGGAGGCCGTCCCCACACACTGTGGCTCTGCCTGCAGTCAAGAACTGGTTCACGTCTGGGATTTCATGGTATCTTAGTGCTTCTAGACTGAACCCCAGCTGGAGACCACCTCCGAAGAAGATACAACCACCACCTTACTTTTCAAACTCAGTGGAGCCTGGAGAAAGACGTGGGCCCCCACGTGGCTGTTCCAGAACGCTGGAGTATGATGAGGTGGCCTCAGGACCCCCCAGCTGACTCCAACAGGGTTTGGTGCTATTGGCCATAGGCTATGGGGTTTGCTGCCAGAAGCTCAACAAAGGCCACTCAGGGATGAGTGTTCACGTAAAACTACTTTTCACATCTAGGTTACCCAAAGGACAATGAAGCCAAGGTAAGGCATTAAAAGCCAATCCTCAATGGATTTCCCGTTCTAAATCTGTGTGGTCTTTAAATGAAACTTTCTTTTTAAGTCAAAGAGCACCATTAGAAGAATGCCACACGGCCAAACACTGAAACCCTGTGGGAGGCCCAACACCTTTAGGAGAGAAATACCAAACACTTTGGGTTTGGCCTATGACTTCTTACCTCAAAAAATCAGACACCTCTCTAGAACTACCACTTCTAGTTTGAAGCTCAAGAATAACTAGACCTAAGATCATCAGAATTCCAAAGCTCCAGGGGAAAAGTATCTTTGCCAAAACTTTTCGACTGTGGAATATATTACCTGGCACTCAGAACTAAAAACACAGACATGACATTCTCTTGATTTCTGAACAGGGTCTAAGCGAACGAGGTTCAAGAAGACAGGAAGGGTATGAAGTAGCACTCAGAGCACAGGGTTCCCAGAGAGAAACGCAGGTACACTTGGATTCTGCCAGGCTTAGGGGGAACGGGGCGGCGCCAAGGAGCCCCAGCCCAGCCGGTAACAGCAGCCTCTGCACAGTCAACATGCAGATAAACCCGAGCCCCATGCAGCATCCAGACAAGCAGGCTCGCATTGACAGGCAGAATCTAGGACCCCACAGCCAGCCAGCAGAGGGAAGGCTGATTCCCAGCACTCCAACAGCCGAAAGTCCTGCCCACCCCCACCCTCCGGTCCCGGGGGCCACCCTTGGGGACGGCAACGCCTTACCGGCTGTGCCTTGCTCAGCTGGTCACCTCTCCTCTCCCGTTTCTTGAAGGACTCATACGCAGCAGGGTCTATGCCCCACAAACACTCTGTCCATTTTCCATAGATCATAAAGAGCTTCTTTTTGCTGCAAAGGAAACTTTTATTTATTTTTTTAAAGTTTATTTTTTTTAGTCATCTCTACACCCAACTCACAACCCCGAGATCAAGAGTTGTGTGCTCTTTCAACTGAGCCAGCCAGGCACCCCATCAAAGTGAATTTAATCAAAAATCATTCATCTAAACATGCAGCACCTTAATTTTGACCATGGAATAAATGCCCATTCTGGCTTGTCTCCCTATAAATGTTAGGACTTCTCGGGACATAAGTGCAAAGAGGAAAATCTGCCTTTTAGGGCCCCTGCTCGGGCCTGATTCACCGAAGCAGCAAAGAGGATGAGGGCACACAGCCCCAAGGGCGGCTGGCAGGGCCCTGCCACCAGAGAAGGCGAGAGACAGGGGGCATCCGGTGTCATGTAAGCCTGCACTGCCTGTCTGGTCACCGTCCCTGAAATGCACAAACTTCCACGCACTATGTCCCCCCCTCCAATAAATCACATCAACAGCCCTTCAATTTCAGTGGACGTTGTCTGCTTTATCTTTGTAACCTTAAGTCGGAGGCCCACATCATCGCTCGCCTGCTTTTTTCATTTAATAATAATCTCTGGAGACTTTCCAGGTCAACCACCAGAGCACTCCGCCTGATTCCAAAAGGAATGCCAATAGAGTAGGACTGTTTTGTTTTGTTTGTTTTTTTCTTTTTTGCATCCTCCTGCAGGGAAAGCACAGTGGCCATGCACTCCCTGGAAATACTACTCTGCCAGGCATGTGACATCCTGGGAGGGCACCCCTGTCTCAGAGGCTCAGCCTGGAAAAATGGCATGCAGGGACTGGTGGGGGGACACTCGGCCAGTCCTCACTCAGCAGACACCTTGGCCAACATGGTCTGTCACCAAGAAGTAGAGCATTAGGAAAGAGCTCACTCCAATTTGGGATAGAAAACCAGAAAATCACAACAGGGTTTGCAGCCCCTAAGGGCTGGTGAGCGTGGCCTCGAGGCATGGCACGGACTCCGCTCCTATGGCCCGCGTCTGTATGCAAGCCAACCACGGTCTCTGCTGGGGTTGTTTCCACCAAGGAGAGGCTGTTCGGGCGCTGTCATGGAGAGGACTGCTGTCCTCCAAAGTCTGAGGGCTGAGTCCCGACTTACTTCAGTGGGCAAGGTGCTCAGAGTCTAAAGCCTAAAAGCATCTCACAGGCCATTTGAGCAGGTGACCTTCCGCTACCCAAAGAGTAGAAAGGAGCAAAAGCACCCACTGCTTTACATTGGAAACTTGTTTCTAATTAAAAATGTGTAGGGGGGCTCCTGGCTGGCTCAGTGGGTAGAGCATGCGACTCTTGATCTCAGGGTGGTGAGTTCAAGCCCCACGTTGGGTACAGAGCCTACTTTTAAAAAAGAAAAAAAAAATGTATAGCTTTTGGAGCTGGCAGGAGTTTCATGACATTATATAAAGCCCAAATTCCTTACTGGGGAAAAAAAAATGGGAAATTTGAGACCAAAAACATAAGGTAAGTAACCCAAAGGAGAGAAAACCCCAGAAAATCTGTTGTGGACTCTGACCGTTTCTCTGCTCACAAACACTTTAAAAGCCCCTCACAAGATAGGGTTGGAGCTGTGCCGACGACCTGTAGCAGGCGCTGCTAGAGAGGAGGAAACTCGCACTCACGTTTCCAACCTCAGTTCTGGTTGCGAAACCACAGGATTACCTCTCCGTGAGGACACCTAATTTCCTCACGTCCATTTTATCAAAAGAAAACAGACGCAGAGCTTTCATCCTCAAGAGAGGGACAGACAGACACCACTCACTCACCACCCAGAGACGACACTTAAAACTAATCCTTCGTCCCCTTGCAGACTCAATAAGGAAATGTCTTTTCTAAACAAAAGAGAGTCATCATTTTTCTCTCCCGCGAACAGATGTCACTGGCATGACTGCATCGCTAACAAGGTACGCGCATGCTGTAGGAGCCCGTGCCGAACCGTCTGTGCGCAGACCTACTTTTTGTCTTGAATGTGCCCCTCCACTTTGTGAAGTTCTTTCCCGAACAATCCACAGGGTTTAAAATGAAGCACACACTTATCTCCAGTTCTGTGGGGAGAACAAACACAGGCTTCTCTTGTGTGATGAGAAATGGCCAGGGGAAGTGAACGGGGAAAGAGAGGCGGCCAGGGTGGGGGCGGCGGTGGGCACGTGGGGGAGCTCGCTGCGCTGACCGAGAGGTTGCAACCCTGACGGCGGCATGCTTCACTACATACACTAAACATCACCTAAGTTAACAATGTAAGTGGGTGAATTTTATGATATGCAAACCATATCTCAATAAAGCTGCAGGAAAACAAAACCGATAGGTCATGAGCTCCCAGAAAGAAGGTATGGACAGTGGGTAGCGTTTGAGGATGGTAGTGACTTTCTCATCTGGGAATCACACCATCCTTCAACATAGTTTAAAATTTCAAAATAAATTCACTATTGTAACTAACACGAAAACAGGAAGCAACGAGGGGCACCAGAGACGATACCAGCACCAACCAGCACCTGCGCCAGGGAGCCCTGGGCCCGGCCCTCCGTGCAAGCAAGACACACCCCAAGGACGGACACAGCCGCGGGGAGCAGGGTGGAAGCGCCTCCTCCAGGACGCAGCGCATCTGCACGTTCCACGCATTCTGTGACCATCACAGCACCTTGGGTGCTATTACCTGTGGTTTACAATCTCCACCGTCCCATACTGCTCTATCCAGAGCTTCCCGATGATCACGTTATGTACACAGCAGGTGGGGTTGGTCCAGGTGTAGGCTTCATTGTGTCTGTGAAACATGCCAGAAAACAAGCAAGTCAGAGGCCAGCAAAGCGAAAGACACTGCGTGACCTGAGAAGCGGAATACCAGACAGAATTAAACCATAATTGCCTTAAAACCTGTACAAGAGCCGAATATTGCTTTGAACTCCCTCCAACGGTGGCGATTTATTTAGCATTTGTTTGAAATTTATTTCTGCTTTCCTTTGTAGCATCAACAAAGCTTTCTACTGAAATGTCAGGACAAGTTAATAAGCGACAGGAGAGCACCGAGACAAAGAGACACGGCTGTCCTGCGAAGCTGTCGGCACACCAGCCCCTCCACCAGCAGGAGCTGCATGCCCTGGGCCGGCCCAGGGTTGTGGGGAGCCGCTCCGTGGCAGGAACGCTGGGGCACACGCGATTGCTGGGAACAACCTTCCAAACACCTTTGCGTGTATTCCTCAATATTCCTCATCCTCCCCAAATGGCTTGACCCAAGGAGAAAGCCCCACAAAGGTGGATCAAGAGCACCAGACCCGTGTTTCAAGGGAGGCTGTGTCAAAGAGCCATACTGAAGGGCAGAGACCATCTCAGAGCAGAAGTATTCAGGATAAATATTTGGAACCCCTCAAATTTCCAGGGGGAACCCAAACGCATTAATCAATAAGGTTTGCAGCGTTTCAATCCTGCATGCCTCACCTCAAGAAAACAAAGACCACCGCAAGATAGGCACGCTTCCCAGAAAAGCGGGGGCCCTCACTGGGCCCGGAGATGCCCGGGGCTCAGGTACTGCTATTCTCTGGCCACCAGCCACGAAGCAAAACTGATACCAAATGCTTCATTATAGCTATATGGTGAGCAAGAAGAGCACCTCCGAGAACCAGCAGCTCGCCGCGGCCTGGACCCATCTAACGATGGTTTTGCAATATCCAGGCAATTGCCAGAGATTTGGTTGTTGCTTGAGATATCTGAGCAACACTGCATGGGAGAGCATTGGGATGAAGGTTTGATGGGTCCGTGGGCAGCCTCCAGGACGCCCCTCGGTGTTCCCTACCTCCTGGGGTTCAGCCCGCGTCTCTCTCCCACCCTCAAGCAGGGTTGCTCTGTGTGACCACCGGGGGTTTAAGGTTAGGGTCACTTCTGAGATGAGGTCATAAAAGACACGATGGCTTCTGCCACTTCATGGGGCCCTGAGCCAGGGCGGCCTGCTATGCGGCTCCCCGGTCCCAGCCCTCAGGAACCGCGTGGGAGGGCAAACGGTGACTGTTGGAAGTTCCTATGTCTGGGAACAGCTAGCAGCAGCAGTGACGAAGGCGATTCAGGTCACGTGGTGCGCACTGCAATCAGGCGTGCGAACTGCACCCGCGCCAGGGAGGGGTCTGACAGGGAGTTCCTACCTGAAGGGGCTCCTACAGTTGGAAAGGCCTGAACAGAGAAAGGCTGTGACCCGCCCCACACTGGAAGGAAGAGTCTGCATTTCTGTTCAGGTTCCCGGCCGCCGCACTCACTTGAGCAGCTCCAGCGTGATGGTGCCCCGGGGCTCGGCCTCCACGCTCTTGCCCCAGAACTTCAGCTTCGGGTAGATGGAGCCGTGAAACAGGAAGTCCTGATTGAGGCCTTCTGAATAAAATGCACTAACGGGCGGGTGGTGGCTGACCTGTTCAGATATGAATCTGAATCCTAAATCTTCCCTAGGCACAAAAACAAGAGGGGAGAGAGCCACATCAGAGACCGTAAAATCCGACAAATGCCGGCTCAGCACCCCTCTCGGGGGAGCCCCGCAGCCTCTGGCACGGCAGGCCCACCCCAGCCCACACGTCCGGGAGGAACACTGAGAAAGGCGAACACACACTCCATGTCCCCCACCCCAGGGGGCAGAAATATCCAACACCTGCTCTCTGACAGCCTAACGCTGACACCCCCCCACACACACTTGCACACACATCCACTGTGCCTCTGGGGTACATCTGAACACTAGACAGAACAAGGAATAGTGCGGAGGGGACTCTTCCACCCTGACCCTCTGCTCACAGACCCCCCCCCACCACCGGAACACGCAGGTCTAGATGTGTCTCCTGGAACCAGGGACGTAGAGGCCCCGATACCAAACTACCATCTTAGTCCTCGAGGGACACCCAGCGCCTAAGGGGGTTCTTCTCTAGTCTTCTTCTAAGGCTCCTGGAAGTTTCATGATGGAATGTCTGATGCCCCAAGACACTCCTGGCCAGGAAATAGGATTTTTAGTACACGCTCTTTTTCAATAAAAATGTCAGTTTTTAATTCTTCCGGAACTGTGAATACACCTACAGTTGTAGGCATTAAAAATTATAAAAGCTAAACCACATAATTACTAACTTAACTGGAATCAGAATTTCCAATCGTTACAGAGAAAGGAAAGTTGAAAGATTAGATTTTAAAAGGTTGCCTACCAAGGTATGTAATTTACAAAATGAACACTTGTCTAAGAAAAGAAAGTGCTATTTTTGGCTCTATAGGAGCAATCTGTAGGGAAAAAGACATGGAGCATGACTTGGTTCAGTTACGTAGCTGCTCAAACAGGAAGACCCCTCAGGGCCCTGCCCACAGAGGACAGGCCACACGTGCGACCTGGACACCAGGACGTGACACCTGCAAGATTAGGAGGAAGGCTCATTTCTCTGTCAGTGGAAACTGGCTCAACCCCTGAAGTTCCTGGAAAAGATGAATAGGCAGGTGTGTCGCACCGTGTCCAGCATCTCGGGGTCACAGTCTTTTAATCCGTATTGCTTCTCTCCCGTTGTCTAAAACTTCTTCTGTATTATGTTTTAATTTTTTCCTAAGATATGTTAATGGTGCTTTTGAATAAATGAAAATGCTAACAATTTCCTCAGAGCTAGACAAGGTCAGAATCTCCACCACGGCAGGGAGTAACTATCGCTCAAAAGGAATGGTTCTAGGAAAGAAAGAACTGTCCACGTGAATTCAGAACAAAATTTCCCTGAAGAGTGACTGTCGGGGCAGGTTTTCCCCTCAGGTGGGCCTCAGTTTCCCCGTCTCTGAACTGAAGAAGGAGGGACTTGCCTTCTTCACCCAGGGTCCCCTCCTGGCGGCCGTCGCCCGTGAGCACACCACACAGCAAAACCGTGCCTTCTGACCCGCCAGCCTTCTCGAAGGAATGGGATTTCGAAAGCAGGTGCCTGAGCACTCAGTGCCAGCCAGCCTGTCAGTTCCTCAGAACAGAGGGCCACTGCCCCCAACGCCAGCAGCACGCAGTGGGTGGGGCCACTCGGTGGGGGGGGGGCACTCGGTGGGTGGGGCCACGCGGTGGGGGGGCCACGCGGTGGGGGGGGCCACTCGGTGGGGGGGCCACTCAGTGGCGGGGCCACGTGGTGGGTGGGGCCACGCGGTGGGGGGGGCCACGCAGGGGGGGGGCCACGCGGTGGGGGGGGCCACGCGGTGGGGGGGGCCACGCGGTGGGGGGGGGCACTCGGTGGGGGGGCACTCAGTGGGGGGGCCACGCGGTGAGGGGCAGCCAGACACAGGCCAGAGCCTGACCCTAGGCATTTCTGTCGCTTCCCCAACTGCTAAGGGGTTTCCATGAAGACGTGCAGGCCCACCTGCGTGGCTACGGGTGCCAACTCTGCCCGCAGAGGTCAGAAACCCAGGCCGACACTCGCCCCCTGCACACGCTTGTCAGCGCCGCCACACGCCCAGAGCGCTGACTCAAGCAGACCAACACCCCAGTTCCCACAACCGCGTGCTCACCTTTGAAGAACTCGTGATCGCTAACACGTGTTAGTAAGGGCAACAAAGAGCCCACGAAGCACGACCTGAAGGACTCTTTGAAACCCAGACACCAGGGACCACACGACGCACGCTCTTTCACGACAGAAAGCAGCAGCACCGGGCACCACACGGCATCGCGCGCACACACGTCAGACACGACACACGCAGCGTGACTCCGCACCAGCGTGTCGTATCGTGGGGACGCAAGGACGGCACAATGTGAAGTGGCAAGCGATACAAATTACCAGTCACACCGGGTGAACACACACACAACACACGGGAGGAAATCCACCAAAACATTAACTCTACAGGATCATGTCTGACTCATCTCACCTTGCTCAATCTACACATTTTCCACAAGGAACATGCTCTATAATCAAAAACCAAAGTTTTATTTAATAAAACATTCCAATAAGCTCTCCACAGGACCCAGGGAGAGGTGGAGTAAAAACTACTCTTGCCGTCGCCAAACGGCCCCACAGAGGACTGAGCGCGCTCATGCTCCCGGAGCCCCACACTCACGCTCACGTTCCTGGAGCCGCACGCTCACACTCACGCTCCCGGAGTCCCACCCTCACGCTCACGCTCCTGGAGTCCCACGCTCACGCTCCCAGAGCTGCACGCTCACACTCACGATCCCGGGGCTGCATGCTCATGCTCACGCTCCTGGAGCCGCACGCTCACACTCACGCTCCCAGAGCCCCACGCTCATGCTCACGCTCCTGGGGCTGCATGCTCACACTCACACTCCCAGAGCCCCACGCTCACGCTCCCAGAGCCGCACGCTCACACTCACGCTCCCGGAGTCCCACACTCCCGGAGCCCCATGCTCACACTCCCGGAGCTGCACGCTCACGTTCCTGGAGCCACACGCTCACACTCAACGCTCCTAGAGTCTCACGCTCCCGGAGTCCCACGCTCCCGGAGCCCCACGCTCACGCTCATGCTCCCGGAGCTGCACGCTCACACTCATGCTCCTGGAGTCCCACACTCCCGGAGCCCCACACTCACACTCCCGGAGCTGCATGCTCACGCTCCCGGAGCTGCACGCTCACACTCACGCTCCCAGAGTCCCACGCTCCCAGAGCCCCATGCTCACGCTCACGCTCCCGGAGCCACAGCCCGGGCCAGACAGCTTGCCCTTCACCCAGCTGATTCTGTGACGGAGAAAGACAACACTGCCGTCAGCTTTCGCTCATGTGGTCTGGGGGCTAAGAAGAGCACCCCAAACAGGCCCAGCCCACCCTCCCAGGGCCCCCGCCAGGACCGCCACAGGCAGGGCTGGTCCTGGAGGTGTGTGCAGACCTCGAAGACGGGGTCAGAAGCTGGGGGCAGGCTGGGGAGCTGCCTGAAAGGAACTCTACCCAGACGGATCTCAGTCACCCCAGCCCCTCGCCAGCCTCGGGAGGCTGTGCTCATGCCCTCTGCGGCTGCTGCGCTCTCCAGCTCCGGCTGCCCCTCTGTGACACTTACTAAGATGCCCTGGTGACAGCGGGCTGGCTTTACTCACTAGGGCCTGTTTCCCTCTTAGTGCAACATGAGCCCGCCCACCCTCCTGCACAGGGCACTCTGACGCCCAGCGCGCTCTCCCATCTCTGTCTGCTTTACCCCGGGTGCTGTGGTGTGTGTTGTGTCCGCGGCCGCGAGGCGCCTTCTCCCTCTGCGTCCCTAGCCCTGGCGACCCTGACGGCCTGAGCCCTTACCTGATCAGCTCGTAAGTCTCTCCCAGGAGGGGGTTGAAGGGCTTGCCGGTCCTCTCCCACTGGGAAGCCACTGCGGACACCGCGAAGGCCGCCACGCACTGGGAGCAACGCACACGGCGGTGAGCGAGGGGCCACTGGGGCGCCACAGGCACGCAGCTCCTCGGTGCCAGGATGAGCTCCTGGCAACCTCAGTCTCCCGCTTGTCACATGTTTTGAGATTACAGAACTTCCGGAGAAATGCCATTCATCACGGGCACTTCCTCAAAGCCACACAAGCAGGAACTGTGTGCGGCTTCCCCCCCAGGCCTGCCCGGCCTTGAGGCCCTGTGGCGCAGCTGGTCAGTCTGTCTGCCGTGCCCGCATGCACACAGGGTGCCAGTCCCGAAAGGACCCAGGAGGAGCCAAGGCACAGGGCCCACCGCCACCCGTGGAGATCAGGCCCCGGGACAAACGCCAGAGCTGTCGAGCAGGATGGCACCCAAAAGTCAGTGTGAGCCATGCACGCCCTTCCTCTGACGTCCCCCTGGTGAGGTGCCTACCATGATGTGGCTGGTCAGGTGGTGTCAGGTTCATTAAAAACTATGGTCTGGCACCCACCCAAGCTCAATGTCTGGTGCCCCCTGAAAGGAGCCCACCACCCACCTGCATCCTTTCTAGGGCCTGGGGCTGGCAGGAGGCTCTGTGAATGAGAAACACATGCTCCATGTACTCTGTGATCCGCTGGAGGAAGCTCAGAGGCTCGTTGAAGACGATGGGCATGGTGATCTTGGACAGCTCCTAGAAGGGGCAGGGAAGACCCGTCACCAGTGGGCTCAGGCCCACCCTGCTCAGAGCACAGGGAAGATGCTCACCTTACTCTTTAGGACAAAGGAAGTACACGATGTGGAGACCCCACTGCTCACCTGCTCAAGCGGCAACACCCAAACCTGCCTGGGGCATGGATGGGGGTAAAGAGGTCCCCCCCGGGGACCTGGCTGCAGGAGTACAACTGCACACACACCTACTCTTTGGTCTAGCCAAACACCAGACATCACTCAAACGTCCCACAGGGCCCCAGGAGGCCGCCCGATGCAATGACCACAGGAGTAAGCAGTAGCTCTACATCGCCGTGGCTGCACCATACAGGGAAAAGGTGGAGCAGCCCCTGTTTGTCTGAAGAAAGAGGGAGGAGATAACACACAATCAGCTTTCTGATGCACGGGAAGACAGGCCAGAAAGTTCCGAAGTGGTCCCCTCTAGGGGAAGGGGACATGCACAGAGAGATCAGGGACAGGAAGCTGAATTCTTGGAATATACCAGAAACTCTTTTTTTTTTAAGATTTTTTAATTTTTATTCATTTGACACAGAGAGAGACAGCGAGAGAGGGAACACAAGCAGGGGGAGTGGGAGAGGGAGAAGCAGACTCTCCGCTGAGCAGGGAGCCCGATGCGGTACTCGATCCCGGGACCCTGGGATCATGACCCGAGCCAAAGGCAGACGCTTAATGACTGAGCCACCCAGGTGCCCTTTTTTTTTTTTTTTTTAAGATTTTTTTAATGGAATACACCAGAATCTCATCCAAAAGATTTGACTTTGGATTTACAATTCTGAAACAGAATTAATTTAGAAAAGCAATCTCCAAACATCAAGAATAAAGTGAAACAAATGAATGCACGCAAGCCCCTCAGGCACAGCCAACCAGAGAAGGGATCACTGCACAGTGACTTGAGATGTACCCTAAGGACGAAATGAACCACAAAAGCCAATAAACTTGCATGTTTCAGTAAACATGCTGCTGGCAGCAGAGGTGGTCCTATTCTCCAGAACCGTTATGCGTGTGGGATAGAGCAGGTGAGTCACTACGTGCTCATCTAAATCAGACATCTCCAGTGTTGTTAAAAACTGGGATTATCAGGGGCACCTGGGGGGCTCAGTCGGTTAAGTGTCTGCCTTCAGATCAGGTCGTGATCCCAGGGTCCTGGGATCGAGTTCCACGTCCGGCTCCCTGCTCAGCGGAGAGTCTGCTTCTCCCTCTGCCCCTCACACCGCTCATGCTCTCTCTCTCTCTCTCTCTCTCGCTCTCTCTTACATAAATTAATAAAAATCTTTAAAAAAACTGGGATTATCGGTATGGGAGAAAAGAGGCACAGACAGAAGATAGAGGAGGTTAGATTAATCCTGTCATCCCAAATTTAAAGCATCGTTGAAACAAATCAAAACAGCTCCTACCTCTCTCCCCTGGGAAAAACCTAGAAAAGCAACCTGATAGCCTCCCTGGGGCCCAGCTGTGGTCTTGAGTCCTCTCTCTCCCTGGACAAGGGGCTGATTCCAGATCCTGGACAAGAAAGGTACAGAACGAGCGAGAGCATCTTTGGGGAAGGACTGCGGCCAACCTGAAGACGCCACTACCAGCCAAAGACGGAACAACTCGGGGACCGGAACACATCAAGGAGCTTTAACTCCATGTATTTAAAAAACAACAGAAGACTAGCTAGTTGGTTACACTGGTCATGCTGGGTAATGGCTAGTGAACCAAATACCACTCACTGACCCTGACTTCCCTTATGCAAACCACATTCAGAGTAGTGGAAGGGTGTGTTCTCAGCACAGAAGCGGTGTCCCAGGAGATAAATGCAGAGTGACTGCGTGGGCTCAGCTCCACAACTGGAGCACTGAGCATCAGGAACTCAAGGTCAGGAGAGAAGTAACAAAGAGGTGTCCACACACAGACTGGAATGGCATTCGAGACAACCAGGAATTTGATGACATTAACAGACTATGTACTTTCCTGTACTAGGATACCAGGACTGTGGTTGGGTTAAAACAGAATCTGGGGGCGTCTGGGTGGCTCAGTCAGTGAAGTGTCCGACTCTTGGTTTCAGCTCAGGTCACGATCTCAGGGTCCTGGGATCAAGCCTCACATCAGGCTCTGTGCTCAGCACGGAATCTGCTTCAGATTCTCTCTCCCTTTCCCTCCCACTCTCTCTCTCAAATAAATAAAAATATTAAAAAAAAAAACCAGAATCTGTATCCTTTAGCAATACAAGATATATTTGCAAGTGGAATTTATTTCAAAATACTAAGGGAGGCAGGAAGCGATGAAGTGTGGCTGGGGGTGATGAGCCCTGGCCGACGCCGGGGGTGCCGCAGTAGCCGAGGCGGGACTCAGCCCTGCCTGCTGCAGCCTGTGCCTGAAACAGCCCATGTGGGCCAGAGCGTCGCTGCTGTCTCAGCAGGCTAAGCAGTAAAGAGAGCGGCGTCTCCACTTCAGAGGCAAAGCCCATCATGCTGAGCTGGTGCGGCTCCAGGAACGTGCCAACCCACGTGCTTTGTTCAGCTTTAATCTGAATGCATCCTATCCCCAAGGTGGATTCCTCGGGGAATGCAATGTAATGATGTCAATTTATAAAAACAAGCCTCAAGATCAAGGAGCTAGTGGAGTTCATCACCTATCTTCAGACAGACACACCTGTCTGGACCTGACCTACTCACACAGTGAAAAACGTGGGAGATAACACTGCTAAGAAAAAAGAATCCCAGCCGTGTCGTTTTAAAACAGAAGAGACATGCAGGGTGCCTGGCTGGCTTAGTCAGAGGAGCGTGCAACTTTTGATCTCAGGGTTGTGAGTTCAAGCCCCATGTTAGCTGCAGAGAGGAGTTAAAAATAAAAATCTTTAGGAGAGCCTGGGTGGCTCAGTCGGTTAAGCACCTGCCTTCAGCTCAGGTCATGATCTCAGGGTCCTGGGACTGAGCCCTGCATCGGGCTCCGTGCACAGCGGGGAGCCTGCTTCTCCCTCTCCCTCTCCTCCCGCTTGTGCTATCTCTCACTATCTCTGTTGCTATCTCTGTCTCTCTCTAATAAATAAAATCTAAAAAATAAAAATCTTTTAAAAAATCAAACATGGGGCACCTGGGTGGCTCAGTGGGTTAAGTGTCTGCCTTTGGCTCAGGTCATGATCCCAGGGTCCTGGGATGGAGCCCCATATCGCATCGGGCTCCCTGCTCAGCCAGGAGTCTGCTTCTCCCTCTCCCTCTACCTCTCCTCCCTGCTCATGCATGCGTGCTCTCCCTCTCTCTCCAATAAAATCTTAAAAAAAAACCCTCAAAACATAAAAAAAATAAAAGATAAGAAACATGTACAAAAACATGTGCGTGTGTGTGCAAGCAGGGTCAGAATGCATACTTGGGTTTTCCAGCTCTGTCTGCTTAGAGGCCTGGGGCGGTGACAGCCCTGGAGGGGCGAGCACATCCAGCGCCAGGCCCTGGTGTCTAAATACCACCCTCCAGGGGCGCCTGGGTGGCTGTCGGTTGAGCGTCTGCCTTTGGCTCAGGTCATGATCCCGGAGTCCTGGGATCGAGCCCCACGTCGGGCTCCCTGCTCAGTGGGGAGTCTCCCTCTCCCTCTGCCTGACGCTCCCCCTGCTTGTGCTCTATCTCATTGTCAAATGAGTAAATGAAATCTTTGGAAAAACAAACAAACACACACACACACACACACCGCATCCTCTAGTGGAAGGGCAGCAGGGGAGACACTGGGAAAGCAAGTCCTGTGTGCGGAGAGCAGTGATGCTCCGACAGGGGTCCCCTTGTCCCCTCGCTCACTGAACTCTGGCTACTACGTGAGAGGCCACTGTGACAGGCAGCTGGGTGAAGGGTAAACAGGGCTCAATGTGCCTCTGCAATCTTCTAAAAGTCCAAAACTATTTCAAAATACAAAGTGGGAGAAAAGATGCAGTTTCCTCTGAGAAAAAGGCCGCCAGCTGGGGCAGAAGCAAAGGCAGCAACAGGCCTGTGAGGAGCGCCAGGGACAGGGCCACGTGCCTGTGGGTACAACACTCACTAAAGTCCGCGTCACCCCGCGGCCTGTGGGGTGCTCTTCCCTCCCAAGGGGCACAGCTCACATTCCCACAACAGTCGAGACCGTCCCGGAGACCATGAGACAAGCCTGCACCCCCGGACACCAATCACTCCACTCTCCCGCTGCTAACCTGGCTGGGCTCTGCCTGCAGCCCGGTGTGGGGGGCACTGGGGGACGGAGCCCCGAGTCCTGCACGCCTGCTCATGGCCTGCCCTCAGCATGCATCAGGGAGCCCACTGTCCAAAGGCAGCCAACGCCGAGCCCGTCATAGGGCGCTCCCTGCATCAGGCGTGTGACCTGCGGGATTGTTTTTCCGCTGTCTGTAAACACTTGGCCTTTTCTCTCCTCTTCCCTTTACGTCTCTGTCCCTTTCCTATTTCATTACCTTCACTTCACGCTGTCATAAATATGCAGAACGCACCTTCTTAAACTAGCAGCAGTGCAACAAATACACAGGAAATAAAAACATTTTGGCTTAAAGCCCCAAAATGAGTCCATCTGAACTTACCAAACCGATGCATTTCTTTAAAATACTCCACACACTAAAATCACTTCTGGTGAACATTGGAGCGGGCAACGATGTCCTGTGAAGAAGCGAGCCAAGAAACACGTACTTATTCCTCCAGCATGACGCTCACTTCCCACTGCTGACTGTGCTCAGTGGCCAGTTTTCGGATGCAAACACCGCACCGTCTGCTCCAGCAGCTACAGTACTCTCTAGTCCCAAAGGAAGGCTCTGCACCATGGCTCTGGGGGGTCTCCCGGGAAACGGTCATGACCACACAGACAACCTTCCTTCATCTCCACAGAGGGGGGACAGGGCACCCCTCCCCTGGATCAGCCATGGGCCCACAGGCAGAGGCCGGGCCACAAGGACACAAGAGGGAACTGAATTAACAAAACCTTTCCAGAAGCTTTTGCCGTAAGCCCCTTTCAAACGTGAGTTTGTTCTCCTGAGGTACATTCCTTGTCAGGCTCTCTTCCCGCCAGCTTCCAGGAGAAGACCGCCAGTCTCCCTCCTGGGAATCTGGGGCTGGGATGAGATGCTCTCTCCTCCTGGAAAGGGGGTGCCTGAGCGGGCTGTGAATCCAGATTTGGGGGGAGGCACGCTGGACCCACTCACTGAAGACAGCCCATCGCAGGCAGCCACAGCGTGAGGGGCCCCTGGAAGGTGCCGCCTGGATCCTGGGGTCCTTGTAGCTGCCCGTGCTCCCCACTGACTTCTGGGTCTGTGTAAGCGCCGACTGCCCCTGCGGCAGGAGCGCCCGGCTCAGAAGCCTCCGCTTGGTGGCTCTGGGCTTCCGAGCAATGACAGTGCGTGCGCTGGCCCAGGTGGGAGGCACACTCTCCCGGGGACATCACGTTAGGGGCAACCAGCTCAGGGCGCACTGTTGATTTTAGGGATAAGAGGGAGAGAAGAACAGGGCTGCTGGAGATGAAATGGGAAAGAAAACTAACATTGACGAGCACCACAGGCCAGGCTGCCAGCACCCAACGCTCAGCTCTAGACCCAGCTCTCCTCCGGGGCTCCGTGAACACTGGGAGCAGCCACAGCGGGGAAGGCACAAACTGCGAGGGGTGCTACGTGGAAGGCTGTAGCTCCGGCCAGGGCCAGGAAGGGGCCCCCCGAGGTGAGCCTTGCTTGAGTCAGGAGGGAAAAGCCAGAACTAAAGAGACACAGGAGGAAAGCGCTGTGGCTGAGGGAGCCGAGCAGAGCTCCGCTGTGGGAAAGACCTGGGCACCCCTGAGGACTTGAAAGAGGCCCCTATCGGCTGTGACCAGGGACAACGGGACAGGGGCCGGAGCCAGAGGAGTGGGGCCAGCCCTTGCCCCAAGAGGAGGGTGACCTTACAGTCCCCTAGCCCAGCTGAGACACTTCGGTTCACCATCAATGGGGACCAGGTGGACACTGGCCGAGAATTCCAACCATGAGGTGGAGGAGGCCCAGTCCAACCAGTCTTGTGGAAAGACGGCTCTGCCCACAGCACGGAGGAGATGAGAGCGCGTGGAAGCAGCTGCAGGCGCCATGAGGCACAGGAGAAGCAGTGCAGATGAACTGGGGTATGACAGAGGAGCTAGGAGGGCTGAGGGGCCCAGACCCGTGGGACGAGGCCAGCAGGTCAGAGCTGGGCGACAGGGCACCGGGGAAGGGGGGCGGCATCGGGCCAACGTATGAACCAGATCCCCGGCGCGCTGAGGGGATGATGGCAGAGGTCCGGTCAACAGAGCCCGGCCTGCCCTCGGGCATGCCCTCTGAGCATGCAGGGGGTGCTCTGACAACTGCTGAGTGACTGAATGGACAAACAGGGGTGTGAGTGAGGCACCAGAGCCCCCTGTGCACACATCTAGTAGGCACGGGGGCGTAAGGCTCAGAGCGGGGTCTGGGTTGAGGCTGGAGGGCTCCCTTAAGCCAGAAAGCAAGTCATCGTGGGATGGACGGAGGCCGTCTTCCCACCACCATGGGATGCCATCCAGGGGCCCCAGCACCCAGGTGACACAGGCTGGGTCACTCCTCCCGCTCAGGGCTCAGGAGAGCTAGAGGAGCCCTGCAGCACAATGGGGGGCGGTCACAGATACACTGGAAGATTCTAAATCACACGTGCAGGATGACATACCTGTGCTTCTGAATCCCATTCTCTTGAGGGGGCCTCTCCCCAACCTTTCCAATCCCATTGCTTCTGCCGGTATCCACGCGCATCACTCCAGCGACTCTCTGATCTGCCTCTGAAAATTCCCCGGAAGAGTTCTCAGAATCAAAGCCTGCACACAACAAGCAGAATGGTCATTTTCGCAGGACTGGGAAGACATAAAGCCCCCCTCCAAGAGTCCTGATCACGGGACAGACTATCTGAAGCCCACATGGTTTCTGACTGACACATGCTGCAACCGTTAGCTCTGCCCAGCAAGAGTCCCAGGCCGAGGCAGAGAATGCAGGTGAGCTTGCTCTCAGGGGGCTTTCCCACGAGCGGCTCAGACGCAGCCGCCGCCCGGGGTTCTGCTGTCGGGCAGGGAGCGGTCTGTCTTTGCTCCGGTCAGGGCTCACACCCTGTGCGGTGGGCCGCCCCGATGGCCCTCAGGCCCACCTCGAGGCTGCAGCGTGTTCTGCCCCTGCACAAGGTTTTGTTCTAGAACACAGGCCACGGCAGTAGCTTCTTTAGTACAGGAACGCCCTGCCGGACTCTCAGGCCCGTGAGCAAGAACCCAAGCGTCGAATGAGCAGCTGGAGCTCTGCAAGCATCCCACGTCAAAAGAGAGCTCGGGCAGTGGGTTCCTGAGGACTTCCCCACCAGGAGGGCCTTCTCCCAAAGGAACAGGCTGCTACAGGGGAAAGGAGGCCCGCTTCCTCTCACATCAGCCGGTACAGCCCACTGAGGCACACGCCTTCTGCTCCCGGGCTTGCCAGCGCTGAGCCGCGGCTGCCAGAACAAAGCCCGCCCATCCAGGGCAGGGGCTCCGGGACCGCGGCGCTCAGCCGTAGCCGTGGCCGTGACCACTGTAGGGACGACACGAGACCCAGCGGGAGCTGAGTTCCCACCAGCCCCTCACTTGGCAGAGGAAGGCGAGGCCCAGGGCATAAGGCCAGGCGGGGGAGCGCTGCCAGACCCGAAACATAAACAAATCTGCTACTATACTTTCCTGAGAATACGCACAAAATCCTCTCTCCTGCTCCTCCACGTTGACAGGTTCGCAAGATGTAGCACTGATACTTACCATACAACGGCTCTGCAAGGTTTGTCAAAAACGAGCCTCCTAAATGATCAATATTCCCTCAAACAGCCTGTCACCTCTGATCTTGCTACCTACCTAAGAGCGACATCTACTTAATCCCCAGCCTAAACTTCACTCTTTCTTTTTTTAAGATGTATTTATTTGAGAGAGACAGAGCACGAGCAGGGGGGAGGGGCAGAGGGAGAAGCAGACTCTGCTGAGCAAAGAGCCCCATGCGGGGCTTGATCCCAGGACCTTGACTGAGGACATGACCTGAGCTGAAATCAAGAGCCGGGCTGATGCTTAAGCGACTGAGCCACCTAGGCACCCCTTGTTCCTTTCTTAAGGAGACCCCCTGCCTGACCACCCTCCGCCAGTGTCCCTGTCCCCATGGGTCCCTCATTGCTAGGAGGTACCACCTGAATGTGCAGCCAGGAAAACAAGGCAACTCATCACTGACAATCATGCTGAAGTCTTTCCTCAGATCAAGCCAATACTATGTAAACAGGTTAAACATTTTCATCTATAACACATATTAATTGTAGAAAACAGAAAAGACAGATAAGCGAAGAAGCCTGAAATCACCTGTAATCTGATTACTCGGAGGTACACACTTCTAACAGGTCGGTCTGTTTCTGTACACGTTTTCCATGCCCCTTAAAACCTTCCCCTTGGGGCACCTGGGTGGCTCAGTCGGTTGGGTGTCTGCCTTAGGCTCAGGTCATGATCCCGGAGTCCCAGGGTCAAGCCCCAAGTCGGGATCCCTGCTCAGCGGGGAGTCTGCTTCTCCCTCTGACCCTCATCCTGCTTGTGCTCTCTCTCTCTCAAATAAATAAAATTTTTAAAAAATAAAATAGAAAATAAAAAAATAAAACTTTCCCCTTTAATAGTGCTGATCCTTGGCCGAAGTAGCTGCCTACCAAGCCATTCATCTGGTCCGTGCTGGGCTTGGATACTCTGTCCTACTTTCTCCACAAAGCTAGAGTCAGACCAGTCCTCCGCAGTGACGCAGTCAGCACTCTGCGTCTCTCCGAGCTGCGTCACTGCACTGGGAGACTTGGTGCTTTTCTTCTATTATCTGGTTTGGAACCGAAGAACTGAGGTGAGAAAGCACTGTCCCCAGACAGCTGCCTCCGCCTCTGTCTCAGGGACGTGCCCCTGCCGTGAGCAGGGGCAGAGATGGAAGTTTCTCCAAACGGCAAGCTGCACGAAGCTCAAGTCCTCTCTGGAGAAAACCCTCCAGGCCAAGTTCAGAGACATTCAGGAATCTGGCTACACTGGCCCCAGGCGAAAGGAAACTTCCTACGAGACCCTGAAGAGAGGGGTGCGGCAACGCTGGCTCTCTCGCTTACAGATGCAGTCGCCCCCACAAGGGCCCGGTGACCCAAGGGCCTGCGTCCCTATCAACCACCATGCTTGGCGGGAATCAGCTGCGAGCTGTGACTGAGGAGTGAGCAGGTCAGGCAGACCGACGCGCTTCCTAGGAGCACATCTAGGAGGAGCACTGCAGCCACAAGATCACGGAAGAGGACTTAATAATCTGGCCTCTGAAAACCATGGGCAGCTCAGCGCCTCCTGCTTCTTGGGTTTCAAAGAAGTCAGTAGTCTGGGGCTGTCCGTCCACCAACCCGCTGCGACCCTGGGTCTGAGGGGAGGAGCACGGCTGGAGAGCGACGGACGCCCCGAGAGCCCTGTGGGGGCTGGGGGCTCCACGAGACCGACGGGGCGGCACACGCCACCAAGCAGGCCCAGAGGGCACAGTCACGGCAATCGAGCAGGCAGAAGGAGCCCCGCTGACCCGAGAGTCCGTCACTAAAATCCTGGCCCTGAGAAGTAGTTCAGAGTTGCTGTTAGAGTCCTCTACCTAACAAGCAGGGAACTGGACTACAAGAGTCTCCTGAAGTCCCTTCCCACCACTAACGGTCCTCAGTAGACGACACACAACATTCCAAATGTTGATCGTGAGGGATGGCGGGAGGAGAAGGAATGGCCAGCTTCGACGTCAACGGTCGTGAGGAACACACGGTCACTGCGCACTTGCCCCCTCAGGTGCTTGGGGCTTCTTCCCAGTGACGGGGAGAAGAGGCCGTTCGAAGTCAGTGTGAGCTGGGCCAGCCCAGCCTGCCCTCCCCTCCCCTGCACCCACCCCTGCACACGCACACATAGGCCCTGCCACGCGCTAGTTCCTGGCAGGCTCACACTGTCGTCTATGGGACAGATGGCAGGCTGCGTATCAGGCCCGACAACGGTCTTGGGCGAAGCTAAACCAGATCAGTTCTAACGTGAAGACAGCAAGGCTTGATCAGTGACTACAAATGACGTAAGAAAACTGAGCATCTCACTCAGGGATGCAAATAAAAGCATTTACACTCCAGGGTAACTCTTAAAGATGAAACTCAGTTGCCCTTTCTTGTTATCACCTGTGGCCCAGAGCCTCCCCCCCACATGCTTCTGCTGAGTTGTCAGTGCCAGGGAATGCTCCCATCTCTCGCCTGCACGGCTTTACCGAGCCTTCTCATGCCCCCAAGACCAAGTCTGGGACCAGGACACCGCGGCCCCGGAGTCAGTTCCTGCCCCACTCACCTGTGACGGCATCGAAGAATTCCTCCTCGCCGTTCATCCTTCGGTAGCCGGGCTCCCTTGCCACCTGGTCTCGGCCTTTCTACGAAGTCATCGTACTGGACCTACATCGACGTGTAAGGAATCATATGCTGTCAACTTTCCTTTTGGTAAAAACCCAACAGGCACTGGAGATCTAAGGGGAAACACATTTCTGTATACTTAGCTTTCAAAAGTTTTATGGTTTAGAAACATTTAAAAAATACCCAATCACCATTCTTGAAATCAATCTCAATTACAATTTAAGCAAAGAAATTAAATGATCTAACAAATGTATGATTTCAAAAAATATGAGAAGCATTCACAATATAAATATCCATCAATGAATAATAGATTAATAAGTAATCACCTGAAGTTATTTTTAAAAATCATTATCTACAGTTGTATAAGAAAATGCTAAACACTAGAATCAACAACACAAGAAACAGCAGGTGTCAGTGAGAATGTGGAGAAAAAGGAACCCTCATGCACTGTGGGTGGGAATGCAAACTGGTGCAGCCACTGTGGAAGACAGTATGGAGGGTCCTCAAACACTAAAAATAGAATTATCTCGTGATCCAGTAATTCCACTGCTGGGTATTTACCCAAAGAAAACAAAAACACTAATTCTCAAAGATAAATGCACCCCTATGTTTACTGCAGCAATATTTACAATAACCAAGAGGCAAAAGCAACAAAGTGTCCATGGACAGAGATAATGTGTGTGTGTGTGTGTGTGTGTGTGTGTAATATTACTCAGCCATAAAAAGGATGAAATCTTGCCATTTGCAACAACATGAATAAACCTGAAGAGTATTATTATGTGAAACAAGTCAAAGAAAGACTAATACCATACAATTTCACTTACATGTGGAACCGAAAAACAAATGAATAAACAAGGAAACAAACACAAAGCAGAGACAGACCTGTACATACAGAGAAGAGACTGACAGTTGCCAGGGGGAGGGGGAGGGCCAGGCTTCCAGCTGTGGAGTGAACGGTCACAGATCAAAGGCACAGCATGGGGATGTCACTGATGGCGCTGGGACAGCGCGGCGTGGTGACAGATGGCAGCTACACTTGTGAGCCAGCATCACAGGGTTGTACACCTGAGACTAATGTAACATTGTGTCAACTATACTTCCATTTTTAAAAATAATAACAAATTTTTAAAAAGAAAACAATGAGGGGTGCAGTTCAGTTCAGCGTCTGACTCTTGTTTTTAAAGGCTCAGGTCATGATCTCAGGGTTGTGAGATCGAGCCCCGCAATGGGCTCTGTGCCAGGTGTGGAGCCTGCTTGAGATTCTCTCTTCCTCTGCCCCTCCCATCTCATGCGCTCACTCTCTCTCTCCCCTCCCCCCCCCTTTAAAAAAGAAAACCACAGAATGATTGAGGTAGGGGAAGTTGCTGGACAGGCGGAAGGGCAGGTCAGTTGTGGTGAGGTGCTCACACGTCTGGGGTTCTAACACACCCCAGAACCTCCCACTGAAGGTCGCTGCAAACAAGAAAGTACACAGTGATGTTCGGGTACGTGTGTCACACTGACTTTAAACCAAGTTTCCATCCCAGAGTATTAAGGCAGCTGGATAAGTGAGCTGCTATTGACACAAACTGAAATCGACTTATATCTTCTCAAAATTATTTTAGCAGAACTCACTCATCCCTTTATGAAGAGCAGTATCTTATAAACAGCAAGAGACTGAAGCAGGAAATCACCCTTGTCCCAAAAGGTTTGACTTTTTATGAAAACAAGCTGAATCTATGTCTAACTGTGTTAGTAGCACCGAGGTGAGGCCCAGAGCCCTCCTCCCGGTTCTGAGGGCAGCGAAGGCGCAGATGGTCCCCAGGGGGGGACGTGCCCTCCAACCTTGGAGTGGTGACACAGTGCTGGGTGATGACTCCAAAGCGGCTCATCCCTGGCCCTGTCCTGAGCATACGTGAGCTTCCACACTCTGAAACAAATCGGCATGAAGTTACTCCATTCTTCCTGCCCTGAAAGGTTCTCTCAGAGATACCTTTCTCTTTCCCACCATGCGGAGCCGGGCACTGGGCAGCTTCTGGAAACACCCATACAAAGCCTCCCTCAGCAGTCCAGGATTTGTTGCCTGAGCACGTTAGAGAAGTTACTGCTTCCTCTAATTCCTCGCTGACATGACCTGTCCCATCTACAACACACAGCCACTTGCTCGGCCCCTCTGGAAGCCACCCAAAGGAACCAGGGTCCCTGGAGGAGAAATGGCGGAATCCAGGCCTGGGATCCCTCTCAGGCAGCAAGAAGCCAGCGGGTCGTGTCACAAGGCTCAGGATGAGCCCACAGAGGCTCCCACTGCAACAAGGGAACCGACCGAGCGCCAGCACACAGCAAGAGACGGAGACGCGTCAGACACAGCTAAGCCCTCGGGCTCCTACAGATGCTGGGAAGGAGACAAGGTGGTCACCCTGGGTGATGCCCACACACCCTTCTGAAACCAGTCAGCAACAGGGGAGCACCAAGCCTCCACCCAGCCTTCTTTCCTGCGCGGGCTGTGGGCTGCCATCTGGCCGAACGACAGAGAACTGCCCCTTGACAGCCGGGCTGACAAATCCATGCAGAGGCAGTGAGAGTGCGGGCGTGGCACTGCTGCGTGAGCCGGACGAGTGACCGCGTCCTGCGCCGTCCCCGTGCCGCCCACCAGCAGCGCTGCGGAACCCGAACCGGGTGCACCATGTGCCCCCCGCACAGGAGCGTGCCGCCCCCTCTCTGCCATTGGGCCCAGAAACTCCAGCCCAGACGTGGCCCGGCCTCCGGCTCTAACCACCACCGTCAGGAACACAGAGAAACACGCTGAGCTCCAGCCTGACGACAGAGTCGGCAAAACCCAGACTCTCGGGAAGTGTGCAGGACAGACCCAGCTTCTCGGAGCAACAAACCACAAAGGACGGAGAGGGCGCGGGGAGGGTGGTCTCCCGGGTGCTGGGGCCCATCAGCTACGCATCCAACTACACCCGGGAACGGTCGGCAGGCACTGCCCAGGACGAAAGCGCGGTGGACAGTGGAGGCCAGCCTGCGATCCTGACTGAGGGGGTAGTGTCAGGGGTGTGTACGTAGGTCAAAATGTACTGTACGGCTTACATATGGCTACTTCGTTGTACATCAATTAAACCTCAAATAAGGTACTTTTTTAAAAAAGGCACAGGTGTCATAATGGCATTCTTTCCAAGGGGCCTTCTCTTTAGAGCTACACGTTGAAATCCGTGTGGACGGAAGGACATGCTGGGAGCTTCCTCAAAGTAACTTGGAAGCAGAGGGCAGGGCCGACCCGCAGCCGAAGCCGGTCACTGCGGAAGCCAGGGTGTCCGTGCAGGGGGCCCGCGGGCTCTGCCGGCCTTCCTGTACGCTGAAAATCTCCCATGATAAAAGGTACCTTAAAGGCCATGACATTTTCCTTTTTTATACACTTTCTCACCCAGAACAAAAGTCCTAATGTTAACAGTAAGTCAATCAAAATGTATGGAAATCTTTACACTGAGGCTCTGTCAGGCTGGACAAACGCTGGCTATCAGCCAGGCCACCGCTGAGGACCGGACCCTGCCTGGAAGGCCTCGCTCATAAACCCCACACGAGCGCTCCACGAGGTCAACAACGGAATTTTCACAGCACCCTTCAGGCTGGCTCACATTTTACAAGTTCAGTAATTAATTCCAACAGTCTCGAGGTAATTCCTGAAAGAGCGGTCTTCTTCTTTTTGCCTGGGTAATCGAACTCCCCACTGCCACAGACCATCAACACAAAATGGCGATTTCCCTCACGCCTTCCACAAACATCCGCCAACTGCCACCTGGTACCAGGCCTGGGGGCGGGGGGCCTCTGGGAGGCCTCTGTGGGGCAGGCTTCCCGTGAGCATTCCAGCCCTGGGTCCTTCACATGCCCACCCACCAACCTGACCTCGTCGCACAAGAGGGGGCTCCCGCTGCCCTGGGCCCTGCAGTGCTTGGTCATCCGCCTGCAGGCTGGGCTGCCTGGGGTGCTGGACGTGGGTCTCCCACCCCCAAATCTGACCCACACACCCTGTGGAGGGGAGTGCAGGGCCGTGCGCATAAAGCCCCCCTCCCCCGAGCAAGAAGGCTATGCACCCGAGGGGCACTTAGGCTTTGTAACTCAGCCCTCTACCACAGTAGATGGATGTACAGAAAGTCAACTGTTCAAGAAACAGCATCAACAAGAAGGCAGAATTTAGTATTTCCTACATATGTTCTTCTTCAGGCAGATTTTATTGTGCATCCATGAAGACAGTATTTCAGGAAAGGACTTTTTTTTTTTTTTTAATTAGCTGTTTCTGTTCAACTGTCCCCTCTTCTAACTGCAGAGAAAACCCAGGAAACTAAGCCTGTACCACGCATCTTCACTGACTTCCTGTCATCTTGCTGTCCTTCTGCACTGCCCTTAGGCCCAAGGGCGATGCCACAGGGCTGACCTGGCCTCATGGAGGGAATAGACGGAGGAGGCAGAGGTCTTGATTCCTCCATGTGGGGACCTCCCACCAGGGGTTGAAGTGAATCCTCACTCCCAGCCTCTTCAGGGGGACACCAGCCCAGGACACCCCACCATTCCTCCCGGTCTCCCACAAAATGCCCACTCCCTTGAGAAGAGCCCCATCCAGCTCTCTTTACAGTAGGCACTGACTGCCATCCATACGTCCAGGAGCCTGGCTCCAAATGCAAAATGTCCCACTACCACTTGTACAAATACAAGTACACCTGCACAAATACCACTCCAGTCTTGCATATCCACCTGTACGGTTCTCCTAGAAAAGCAGATCTACTCACATCGGAATAAGTGACTAGCTAAGGGACCCAGAGGTTAATCTTCATGGTCAACTCACTAGAAAGATAAACCGTGTGTTACTTCTCTTCTCTATAAAAAACAGGCAAGGCGGGCGCCTGGGTGGCTCGGTTGGTTAAGCGACTGCCTTCGGCTCAGGTCATGATCCTGGAGTCCCGGGATCGAGTCCCACATCGGGCTCCCTGCTCAGCAGGGAGTCTGCTTCTCCGTCTGACCCTCTTCCCTCTCGTGCTCTCTATCTCTCATTCTCTCTCTCTCTCAAATAAATAAATAAAATATTTAAAAAAAATAAATAAATAAAAACAGGCAAGGCAACTTAGGTGTGATCTTCACA